GTTGGACGTTAAACCCTGCTTACAAAATAAGTTATATTTAGTTATATTTTATCTGCTTATTTTAATAAAACTTGATATTATAATTACAAATCTAATCACTGTTTAAAATACACGTATACTCGACACAAACTAGGTCATTTCGGGACTAACATATGGTTCAATTTTATTTCAACGATTCTCTTGTGCGTAGGGGTCTTTAGCAGTGGGAGGAACCGGGGGACTCGGAGAAAACCCAAGAGGTTGGACAGGCGACCCTACTCCGTGTCACGTACAACCGGGGAATCGAAACCACGCCAGTTGACTCAATGACGGACCTTATGAAACAGCGCGCATGCGCTACGCGCAAACCATTCGGCCACCAAACTCCCCCGAAATATTAAGACAATGATACAAACCGAACATAATTCGCCACGTGGGTCGAATATATATATATCACCTCTGGGGGTTTTATTTTACGTGTTATAACAAGAGTACAGACAAACCTGTAAGATGTTTGGGCAATCTAGAATACTATTGTACGTTGGTATGATATATCTTCATCTCGACATGTTCTGTTCTATTTTTTGTACGATGTTATGGAATCGGGAATGGAGTGGGCTAATTCATATTTTTTTAAATACCCGATTACGTCCATACATATCGGTATCTCTTTGAACAATGGCCACGAAATTATAATCGTTCTAGTATTCATTTTAACAATTAACTTTAGATCCTTGAGGTCATTAGTTTGAATAAAATCAGACTAAACATTATGTTTGTGTTTCGTTGATCTGGTTGCCGAGGTGGTCTGGTGGTACGGCCTCTAGACTAGTGGTAGACTACTAAGACTAGAGTATCCCGGGTACGAATCGGGGAGCAGCGGTGGTCTAGTGGTAGACTAGAGTAGCCCAGGTTCGAATCGGGGAGCAGCGGTGGTCTAGTGGTAGACTAGGGTAGGGTAGGTTCGAATCGGGGAGCAGCAGTGGTCTAGTGGTAGACTAGGGTAGCCCAGGTTCGAATCGGGGAGCAGCAGTGGTCTAGTGGTAGACTAGGGTATCCCGGTTACGAATCGGGGAACCGCGGTGGTCTAGTGGTAGACTAGAGTATCCCGGGTACGAATCGGGCAGCAGCAGTGGTCTTGTGGTAGACTAGAGTATCTGGGGCTCGAATCGGGTCTAGTGGTAGACTAAGGTATCCTAGAATATCTCGGGTTCGAATCGGGGTGCCGCGGTGTTCTAGTGGTAGACTAGGGTAGCCCGTGTTCGAATCTAGTGGTAGACTAGGGTAGCCCGTGTTCGAATCTAGTGGTAGATTAGAGTATTCCGTGTTCGAGTCGGGGAGCCGCGGTGGTCTAGTGGTAGACTAAGGTATCCCGTGTTCGAGTCGGGTCTAGTGGTAGATTAGAGTATTCCGTGTTCGAGTCGGGGAGCCGCGGTGGTCTAGTGGTAGACTAGGGTATTCCGTGTTCGAGTCGGGGAGCCGCGGTGGTCTAGTGGTAGATTAGAGTATTCCGTGTTCGAGTCGGGGAGCCGCGGTGGTCTAGTGGTAGACTAGGGTATTCCGTGTTCGAGTCGGGGAGCCGCGGTGGTCTAGTGGTAGACTAGGGTATTCCGTGTTCGAGTCGGGGAGCCGCGGTGGTCTAGTGGTAGACTAGGGTATCCCGTGTTCGAATCCCGGCATGGACCGAGGGGGACAATGTTAGGGTGGCACCTACTTGGCTGACAAGTAAGTGTGTGTGTGTGTGTGTGTGTGTCTCTCTCTCTCTCTCTCTCTCTCTCTCTCTCTCTTCTTAATCAGATGGTTAAAGGTGGTTGTTAATAAGCCGCCATCATTGCCAATTTAAATAAATTACATACGAATCATTGATTTTTCATGTATTGCAAACTTACTTATTATTTTCTAAAATTATGAAAGGCAATTTATTATATATGTCTAGGTAAAATAATTTATAGCCAGTTCAAATCAACTTTAGAAATGCATCTATCAAATATAACTTATATGTAGCTATGAATAACTAAGTGGGTTATTTTGGTAATAGCTAGCTATAAATCACCGAAAGAGAATTCATATCAGAATTCATTCAATAGTTTGGGATATAAACGTCGATGAGATTATCGTTTATTCAATTAACATGGACATTATTTTGTTTTGTACTGAATTTAATAATGACGTTACCATGCACGCATTTCCCTTCTCATTAAATATCACGCAACAAATATGAGAGAGAGAGAGGGAGAGAGCGAGAGAGAGGGAGAGAGAGAGAGAGAGGGGGGGGGCGGTGTCACATAGTGACTGATTCATGTCATCTGACCCGACCTGACATAACAATATACACGTGATACCTGGCCTTAACGAGGCAAAAGAGAGAGAGAGAGAGAGAGAGAGAGAGAGAGAGAGAGATTTTAACGTTCCTTCGACACAAACTAGGTCATTTCGGGACGAACATATGGTTAAATTTTATTTCAGTAATTCGCTTGCGCGTTGGGGTGGGTAGCAGTGGGAGAAAACTGGAAAACCCGGAGAAAACACATGAGTTTGGACAGGCAACCCTACTCCTTATCACGTACAACCGGGGGAATCGAAACCACACGCAACAAATGTCTACATAAAGATGATACATAAACTACAAGAGTCGTAGCATTTCGGGAAGTTCATACAGCTAACAAATGTTTTACCATCGATTTTTTTTTTTAAAAAAAAAGGTAACCAAATGTTACAATAGCTAGACAAGACTTTGTTTATTCGTTGGGGTTCCATAACTTCACTACCACGTCATGAATTCAGAATAATGTTGCCGGAAAATACTTTAAACGCCGTGTGTTAATGAAAAAAGTTATTGTTTGGAGAGAAAACGTCGACAGTTGAAATCGTAATAGATTGTAAATACCTTACTTAACTTGCAGTATCTCGTTTCAGATTTTTATTTCGTAGAATGGATGACTAACGGTATATTGTTGCTAGAGTTGTTATATTTCTCGATGACTCCTATTCTCGAATTCATCACTCACATTTCCTTTATTTCGAAATTGGCCGGAGGGCCTGACAAGGACAGCTGTCGTTCGGATGTGACGAAAAACCGAGGTTCCGTGTATACATTGGCATGCACGTAAAAGATCCCTTGGTAGTTGGAATTCGATATAAGAGTAGGCCATAGTGCCGCTGCCCGTGCAAAATTTCCCGAATAGCACACTGTATGGCGTATGCCCGTCTTCATTAGCCCAATCGGAACAGAACAGTAGGACGTTAAACCCCATTCCATTTCATTTCTATTTCGAAATTGGATTTATTTTTATAAAACGTAGATAAAATCAGCTATTGATACATAATGGTAATCTGAAAGCTAACCCACAGGGACTTGAATCATATAGATACAACAGAAACAGACAGTCTGATTTGAATCAGTATTGTCACGCATGCCAAATGTGTCTGGCTCAGTAAATGCATGATTACGTCCAAAATTTATGAGAATATGTATTCACCTTCACTTCTCCATATAACGCTTTAAAGTTGTTTCAAATCGTATATTCACAATTAAAGGTACCTTTTTGAGTTTTGTTTATAGGCGTGGTGGGGTGGGAGGGATATTGTGGTGTTGGGTTTTTTTTTATCATAAACAGCATTTTATTCACAGCAATCTGATTGAAACACGGATCCTATTTCGTTTCGATTTTTTATAGTTCAAAATTTCGTTTTACTAGTCTAGACTACACTAGGATCTGGAAGAGTTGTTATAAAATCCGCATTCTGGATGGTGTGAGGGATTAGCAAAGTTTTTGGCGTGAGGTGCACGGAACTGGGGGTAACCCACAAGAAACATCAACGTTGATTGCTTGACCAAATGTCTGACGTCATAGGGCAACAAGCCGTTCGTTTGACCCCTGACGCGACCTTCCACTACAACCGGCCAGATCTTCATGTAGTAAAGGTCATCGAAAGTATAAAAAAACGAAACGAAATATAGATCTGTATTTTAACCAGATTGTATTCACAGAAAGGGGTCGAAGAAGAGGGTACAGGGTAAGCCTATATTACATAATTACCGCTCTCATATGTTACAAAGAGTACAATGAAGTTATATTAGACATGAACCGTAGCTATGATGGCTATGTACATATTTACAGGTTCAGGATTGTCATATCCTAGTCTTAATATCATTTTAATTGAACCAGGTGTTTTATTAGAAGCTAAGTTTCTAATATGTTTGTGTACATTTTTCTACTAAGTAATTTTTTCTAAGCGTATGGCATTTAATAAATAAAAATCATGATTTGTTGTCCAAGGGCTTGAAAATTTATATTTTGAACTACATGTGGCGAAGACAGTCGAAATGAAATGAAATGAAATTTGGTTTAACGTCCTACTGTCTGCTCCAACTGTGCTAATGAAGACGGGCATACAGTGTGCTATGAGGGAAATTTTGCCCGGGCAGCGGCACTTTGGCCTACTCTTATATCGAATTCCAACTGCCAAGGGATCTTTTACGTGCATACCAATGTATACACGGGACCTCGGTTTTTCGTTCCATCCGAACGGCTAGACAAGGGGAAACCACGTCGAAAAAGACCGATGAACTTTCTCGGCCAATGCAGGGAGCGAACACCCGACCTCTAGGCTAGCGAGCCAGCGCCTTACCCACTTAGCCACCGTTGCTCCCGAGAAGACAGTCGATTCACGATACCATACCTTTAAACTCAACTTAGACACGATATGTTAATCTAAAAATTGTTATAAAAAGCTGTTGGTCTGGGGTTAGCCAATCACAAATAATGGTGTACTCATGGTTTGAATGAATAAAATTGATCAATAGACTTGTATAAAATCCACTCCACTATTAACTCATTGAAATGTATAATATAAGCCTACGCATGTCATGTGGTAATAATAGTTACCCATAGAAAACACTTGAAGCGAGTTAAAGACCACTCCCCCGCCTTGTACATATAGACTTGGATATCATGCACTTGTTAAAACTATAAGTAGCTTTAATACCGCAAATAGTGGATAAAGCACGTGGCTAAACAACAACTATATATATATATACACGCTGTGTGTACATACAGTAGGCCTATACATGTGAGAACTGCAATTGTTATCGGTACAGTAGCGAGTGTGTCCGTTAAATCATTTAACACATGTGATGTTATCTGTATCAATGACGACCTTCGTGTCCAGTGCCAGACCAGCGTCAGTAAATCACCTATGCAGACATTCGTGAATAAGTTTATTCTATATGAGTGAAGACATCGTCTACGTGTGTTTTGCTGTTTGCCTGGTATACTTACCACGACATTAAGTTTTAACATTTACGTTATGTTATTACCGCTGTGAGTGATATTTACATACCGGTATCCTTGATTGGAGTTGTACAGGAAACTTTACCTAAAGTAAGTAGTTTTGACTAATTTTTATCTGGTGGATAAAAATAATTTCGTAAAATTCAAACATCACGATAGTGTGATAATATCCTTAAATGACAAGTAGGGGAATGACATTCAGAATAACACAACTTTATGGATTTACTAATTTTTAAGATAAAGATATATCTGTACGAGTACTGAAACGTTGTATGTAATTAATTCATAAACTTGTTGAGTTATTATGAATCGCACAATTCACTGAGAATTGTCAAATCGTTATCAGACCAATGTTCGAAAAAGTGGTTCAAGAACCAAATAAAGCGCTTCCATTCTGCCATTACCTTTTCGGATACCAAATTCACACATCACTGAGAAATCTCACATATTTTTTTCGACCAATATATTGTTTCATTTATAGATAGAACTTTTTTTGTTTGAAGAAGTGATCGATCAATCCATTGTTTTTGCGACGCGGGAATCGCTTTCTCGATGGACCAGTATAGGCTCCTCATATCGACTCATGGCTACATTTATAAATCTGATAACAAAAACTGAAACAATGTCTGAATTTAATCAGTGTAAAAATATTGAAAATGATTTTTGTGGACACGTAGTAAAAAGTAATTCCAGAAATTAATGCACTCTTTGTCCGGCATTATGCGTAAAAAATATTAAAAAGAAATTGATGTGGACAAAAAATAAATGCACCCTTTTCCGGCATTACGTTTTCGAATACCAAATTTTATTGTTTACTGAATACATAGCATAGTGAAGACATGGGTATATTTTGGAATCCTTTCGTTAGACTTTTTTTAAGACACGCGGTTGGTCGTATTTTAGCTGTACTGGATGCGTGCACACATGGGATAATACTATGACTCAACCCGACCACCGCGAGTATCAATGATATAGAAATTTATTCCTTGAAACATGAATCAAAATCCATTATAATTCTATAGATCGATTGGATAATTGGGGAGAGCGGGGGGTAACGTAGGGAATATGCGACGTTTCGGCTACAGAGATTTGTTAACCCTAACCCTAAACAGCTACTATTACAAGTAAGCACCAATTTAACCCCGGTTTACCGACACAGGCTATTTCTGTTACCGATCCCCGTTCAAAATTTATTTCTGAATACAATTAGTGTTTTATAGAGAAAAAAAAGATAAGGCCGATTGTAGAATGTGTCCAACACTAACATGTGTTAGGTGCAGTGAACATATACTGGTATATAGTTGATTAGATATTATGTACTGACGGGGGGGGGGGGGGTTAGCGCGTGTGCGTTGTATCATAAGGTCTGCCATTGAGTCAACTGGCGTGGTTTCGATTCCCGGGTTGTACGTGACAAGGAGTAGGGTCGCCTGTCCAGCCTCATTGGTTTTCTCCGGGTCCTCCGATTTTCTCCCACTGCTAAAGGGCCCTACGCGCAAGCGAATTATTGAAATAAAATTGAACCATGTGTTAGTCCCGAAATGGCCTGGTCTGTGTCGAGTAGACGTTGAACCCCAACGTGACGACCGACTTCGAGCGATTGTCTGCGATATCACCCAAGGTGGAAGCAGACGTAAAAACCCACGAGCGAACGAACGTCTTAGATTGATGACAAATAATATGGGGTGACCTTGTGAAAGAGTTACCCTTGCGAAATGATATGAATTATCCTTGAGAAATGATATGAGTTATCCTTACGAATTTGAGAAATGATATGACTTATCCTTGAGAAATGACATGATTTATCCTGGAGAAATCCTTGAGAATTTGAGAAATGATATGGGTTATCCTTGAGAATAGATATAAAGTATCCGCGAGAGTGCGAACATGCATTACCGAGTGTATGGCCTTCAACCATTACCCGTCTTCACTCAATCTGTTTCACAGAGATCTTCTAATATCTCTGTAACAGATGACTGTTTCGACACGTGACGTCACACGACGCGGCGTCAATCATTGGCTCAATAGCGCGTGCATTGTTTACATAAGACGTTACTGATTCGGGCTAAATGGTGAATTTTACTTATTTTAATACCCATTTACACTAAATAGGAAATGATTTTTACCTACAAACAATTCAAACGTCTTTATTTATTTTTCTAATAAATGAAAAAAATGTTTTAGAATTTAATTTGACGGAAGAAAAAAGTTAATATTTGGGACTCATTAAGTCGCACCGATGTCATCCTTATTAATAGGGGGGGGGGGGGGTAGATGGCTGAATGGTTAGCGTGCGCGCGCTGTATCATAAAGTCTGTCATTGAGTCGACTGGCGTGGTTTCGAATCCCCGGTTGTACGTGACAAGGAGTAGGGTCGCCTGTCCAACCTCGTGGGTTTTCTCCGGGTCCTCCGGTTTCCTCCCACTGCTAAAGACCCCTACGCGCAAGCGGATTATTCAAATAAAAATTAAAACCATATGTTAGTCCCGAAATGACCTAGTTTGTGTCGAGTGGACGTTAAACCCCATTTCTCTCTCTCTCTCTCTCCTTATTAATGATTGTAGCGGTCTAGCGAAAATTCACTTCTGATCAGTGTGGTCTTCATTATCCCAGCCGGGGCATAAAAATAGGGCGTTAAACCATATTTCATTTCTCTGCCATTACATTAAAGTAAATTGAACTGTACATACTCAACATTTGGATGACAAAACCATTGCTACATTTATTTACGTGAGGGTATTTTGTCATAATGTCTAATAAAGGTGACACATAAATGATTACACAGCAATGGTTATATATGGTTACTGTGTCCTGTTGTTTTTAATTTTACCTATTTGATCCGGGATCCAGTGACCTTTGTCGTTACTCATCTTTAACCAAGATAATAAATCCATTATATTGTGAAATCATCCACTGTATCTAAGAATGTGTTACATCCTTGTTGACAACTTGTCATTAAAAACAGCCTGCGGTGCTGGTGTATATTACATTATAGTTTCCCAGAAAAAAGACCATTTTGAATTAGTTGAATTGGGGTTAACGTTAAACATACATTATGCTAGAGCTTAATCAGCCTATTGCAGGTCTTTCTTTAGGCCTGAAATGTTATCTAAATTATTAATTAGACATTAATTAACTTATCCAGACCATAATCAACTCTCGATGTCATCGCTAGTCTGCAATATTTACTGGATTTGATGGATGAATTAAGGTTAAAATGGATAATCGAGACTTTGTTTTTATCGTACCGACTTTAGTAATGATGACCGAGGCTATGCCTAAAATTCAATCTGAAATATCTCGGTTCAGAAGGGAGCAATTTGACTGAAATTTTCAGCATATTCTATTTACATTATCTGTTTTTTTAACTATTATAACGAGAACTGTCAGCTCTTTATCCAATCTCCCATAATGTTTCTTTAACACAGTGTTGTATTTTTATCCGAATTTTCATTTCTCCGGAAAAATTTCTAAAATAAATTATAACGTTCTAAATTCTTTCAATTATTAAAACCGGAAATACCACAGGAGTCTATGATAAAGCTAAACGGACGAAAATAATGTAAATATTGGAAACAAGTGGCTATATGATATCGTTTTTTGGGGAGTATTTATGCAAATCAAAACGACTAGATTGAAAAACAAACATGTCTGTGTGAGTCGACGTAGGTTAGATTTCTTGACATTACGAATAGTTGAAATAAAACGACCGGGGCCGAGAACAGGTAAAATCGAGGCTTCCAACAGGCATTACATTCCAGTTTATTTGTATTATATATTGTCTAAATGGGTACAGTGTGTGTGATGAGAGAGAGAGAGAGAGAGAGAGAGAGAGAGAGAGAGAGAGGGAGGGATGGGGTTTAACGTCCACTCGACACAAACTAGGTCATTTCGGGACTAACACATGGTTCAATTTTATTTCAATCATTCGCTTGCGCGTAGGGGTCTTTATCAGTTGGAGGAAACCGGAGGACCCGGAGAAAACCCACGAGGTTGGACAGGCCACCCTACTTCGTGTCACGTACAAGGGTACAGTGTGTGCGTATACTCAGCCAAATTAAAAACTTGACACTCGGGATTTTTGGGACTAGATTTTTAATATTTGGTTTTAGGCAACTATTTTAGTGTTATGTTGTGCACAGACGACCTTGACATCAACAGAAAGCAGGAATACGTCTCGCCGAAAGCCCGTGACATTGATAACGTTCGTGATGTCACAGTACCCCCCAAAATGAAATTCACAGATTTGGAGAACAATCGGAATAAAGTGTTTAGTAACTGCTGTGGCCTCCTCTAGCGTTTCGTACTGCCACACAACGTCTTCTCATGGATCTCAGAACATTAGTAAACACTACCCGAGGAAGACGTCGCCACTGCTCAGCAAGAGCATGTTGAAGGTCCTGCAACGTCAGTGGTGGATTCACTTGCTGACGTTCACCTCGTCTGCGGTACACTCGGACCCTGCCATCGGCAAATCTCAAAGTGAATCGAGATTCGTCACTAAAGACAACCGAATTCCACTGTCTTTGAGTAAATCTTATGTGTCTTGTGGCCCACACAAGTCGGTTATGGCGATGAAGAGGTGTCAATATTGGTCCATTATAGGGCCTCCGAGCTCGAAGACCAGCAGCCTGTAAGCGATTTCGAACAATTTGTGCAGTTACCCTTCCACCAAACATCTCTCTACTTGTGGAGGTTGCAGTGACAAATCTGTTTCTAAGATGACGTAATCGTATTGCCTGATCTTCCTGAAGTGACGTCACACGTGGCGCTCCCGCCCTTGGACGGTCGGCAATAGTTCCAGTTTGAAGCACTCTCATTCTAAGATCAATTATTGTCTGGCGTGAACAATTAAAGGCTCTTGCAACAGTGACCACAGACTGACCAGCATAGAGCCTACCTATAGCATGTAGACGTTCTACATTTGAAAGGCGCGGCATTTTCTAACAAAGATTAAAATAACAATTTTAATTTGTTTTTCCAGTTCAAGTTACGTGTGCGTGTTCAGTTTAAGCAAACTTGCATCGATTGACCTCACGAGTTTGTGTTTGCACGTGTTTTTCAGGTTTTTCAGGTTTTTCATCTTTATA